CAACTGCATTACTAACTTAACAGCCATAGCGGTTTGCTTAACAACTGCAGCAAGAAAAATTGTAAAATGGGGCAAAACTCATCTAACAGCTATCTTGTTTAACAAAAGAAATTTTGGGCTCAGTTGTGGTCATACGTTGAGGACCACCTGTACTGAAATGCACTTTATATAGGGTTAGCCTTGAAAGAATATTTGTTCCGGTCCGCCAGCAGCCTGCGGAGCTGGCAGCAGAGTCGGACAGTGATGAGGCTGAGGAAGAACATGGGCCAGTCCTGGAGGCTGGGGAAGGCCCGGATGAGGGCTCTGCGTCAGAGGCAGAGATGGGGCCAGGGCCATGGGGGAGTGATGTGCGGACTTCGGAGCCTCCAGAGGCTGACAGTAGAGAGGCAGAGGAACAGGAGGAGCCTGTTCCTAGTGCGCTCATGAGAAGAGCTGCCAGAAGGCAGGAGCAGCTAAAGCAGAGAGGACGATTCGGGAGTAGGGCCAAGAAATGATTGGCCCCTCCCATAAGGCTTAAAAGACCAGCAACAGCTCTTGGCCTCTTTGCCGGAAAACAACGTTGAGAGAATTTTTCTTGTTTCACTGTATTCATTTCTTGTCGGTGTCTTCTGCTTCTGAACTTTTGCCAAGAAAAGCCTTTGGCAGTTTGCCTAATTATACCAAGGTCGGTGATAAACTGAGGAATGGTGTTCTGAATAATTTGTTTTAATTTAGTTTGGACTACACTGAGAATGAGTTAATTCTCAGCTGTTCTAATAAAGTCTGTTTTCAAACTGTTTGCATTTAATACTAACTACTTGGGCCTGGGTCACAACAATATTCAGAAGCTGCAGCTGGTGCAGAATGAGGTGGCATAAGCAGTTTGGGTGCCCTTAGGGTTGCATATGTAACACCTTTGGAACATTGAGTGCCAATTTGCTTATGGGTGCAATTTAAGGTGTTGGTCACGCTTTTAAAGTCCTTTATGGCATGGGACCAGGTTATCTAAGGAACCCTCTCATCCCATTTTTTAAAAATTATTATTATTTTATTTTATATGAATTCCATCTTTGTTATTTTTACAAATAACTCAAGGCTGGGAATATACCCAACACACCTTCCTCATCCTTCTATATCCTACACATCAAGAACCATTTGAGGTGGGTTGGGCTGAGAGAGAATGACCGGCCCAAAGTCACCCAGCCGGCTTTCATGCCTAAAGAAGGATTAGAACCAGGGGTGAAATCCAGCAGGTTCTGACAGGTTCTGGAGAATCGGTAGTGGAAATTTTGAGTAGTTCGGAGAACCGGCAAATACCACCTCTGGCTGGCCCCAGAGTGGGGTGGGAATGGAGATTTTGCAATATCCTTCCCCTAGGAGTGGGCAGGAAATGGGGATTTTGCAGTATCCTTCCCCTGGAAGTGTGGTGTGGTGTGGTGGGCATGGCACCACACGCCACGCCCACAGAACCTGTAGTAAAAAAATTTGGATTTCACCACTGATTAGAACTCACAGTCTCCTGGTGATTGGCCCAAAGTTACCAGTCAGCTTTCATGCCGTAGGTGGGACTAGAACTCACAGTCTCCTGGTGATTGGCCCAAAGTTACCAGTCAGCTTTCATGCCGTAGGTGGTACTAGAACTCACAGTCTCCTGGTGATTGGCCCAAAGTTACCAGTCAGCTTTCATGCCGTAGGTGGGACTAGAACTCACAGTCTCCTGATGATTGGCCCAAAGTTACCAGTCAGCTTTCATGCCGTAGGTGGTACTAGAACTCACAGTCTCCTGGTGATTGGCCCAAAGTTACCAGTCAGCTTTCATGCCGTAGGTGGGACTAGAACTCACAGTCTCCTGGTGATTGACCCAAAATCACCAGCCAGCTTTCATGCTGAAGGTGGAACTAGAACTTACAGTCTCCTGGTAATTGGCCCAAAGTCACCAGCCAGCTTTTATGGCTAAGGCAATTTCATCTACCCATCGTACCTCAACAGGCAGGGAGGGCACATTACAGAACCCATTGGTTAAAGAGCTTTGATTGGTGGGGTCTAGGAAGAAAGATTTCTTTCTGTTGCACAGTGACTTGCTTTCTGCTTGTCCCCAGAGGCAAAAGGCTCTCACCATCTTGGGCTTCTGGAAGAGCATTAAGTCCTGGCTCTGCTGACTGGCCTCAGAATCCCAGAATGCTTTGCACCCCTGGGGTTGATTGGAGGGCCGAACAGGCTCCTTCTGGCTTTTAACTTTACAATTGTCCCTTTTAACTTTGTTTTAATCGAGCTTTTAACATGTTTTTTTAACAATAGCATTTATTTCATTTTACTGTTTTATCTGCAAATTGCCCAGAGGCACGCAAGTGTGATGGGTGGTATAAAAATTTGGAAAATAATAAATAAATAAATAAATAAATAAATAAATAAATAAATAAATAAATGAGACACATTGAATTTAGGCACAGGCAGACTTTTGACCAAAGAAGGTGGGATTGTGGGAGGTGATAGAGAAGCACAATAGCAATAGCACTTAGATTTATATACCGCTTTACAGTGCTTTATAGCCCTCTCTAAGCGGTTTACAGAGTCAGCATATTGCCCCCAACAATTTGGGTCCTCATTTTACCCACCTCGGAAGGATGGAAGGCGGAGTCAACCTTGAGCCAGGTGAGATTTGAACTGCCAAATTGCAGGCAGCTGGCAGTCAGCAGAAATAGCCTGCAGTACTGCACTCTAACCACTCCACCAGCGTGGCTCAATGGATAGAGATTGAGCACAATGGATAGAGATAAGTGTGTTACTCACATAATCTTGGTGGCGCAGTGGTTAAAGTGCAGTATTGCGGGCAAACTCTGCCCACAGCCTGGAGTTCGATCCTAACCAGATCAAGGTTGACTCCGCCTTCCATCCTTCTGAGATCAGTAAAATGCAATATGCAGTAAATTGCAATATGCACTATGCAAATAATGCTTCTACATTTTAAATCACTCAGATAGTGCTGTAAAGCAGTATGGGGTGGTATATAACCCTAAATTGCTATGCTATTGCTATCCTATTGCTATAACAGTGCTGTGAATTTCTTTCTTTCTTTCTTTCTTTCTTTCTTTCTTTCTTTCTTTCTTTTTTTTTTCTTTCTTTCTTTCTTTCTTTTGAGGGAAATGTTTCTTCCCCCTTCTAAGACAAGCAAATGAAGCATTGTATTGCCACATTTGGAAGCTGGCATGTTAGAGATTCAAAGAGAAACTCCTAATCTCGTATTATACTCGATTCTGATGGGAATATAAAGGGACCGTGATTAGTGTTTGCATTTAAATCTCAGGAGAAGCCTCCAAATTTGGAAAGCTTGCATGACATTGGAACTGTGTCACTCGCAGTGCTAATTTCTCATTCAGGCGATGTTTTAGTCAACCTGCGTCAGAAGTGGGAATACAGATTGGCAAATGTACAGTTAATTTCTTACCAGGTCTACTGAAAGGCAAGCCCTACAGAGTTTAAATGGAAACTTACCTTCAGGCATCTACCTCGAATTGCAGCCTAAAGTCCCCGTTGATGGATTCAATTGATCTCCCTCCCTTCCACAATCTTTGTTGTCAGCCTGTGTGAAATCTTTCCTGCATTTTGAATGGGGATAAGGAAAGATGTACTTGAATAACCTTGAGATAGCTGCCTCACCATCGCGTGCTCTTTTCACAAGATGTTTAAGGCGAAGTTCCTTGATGCTGTCTAAGCCGGTGCAATTGTTAAAGGATTTATTGACTTAACATAAGCCAAGACTGAATAAATATCCATATACTGTTTTCTTGAGTGGTTTATTTTATTGGGCTTTAACTCCATTTTATTATTATAAAGGCCAGTGATTTCCATGCACAAAGCTCTCAGCATCCCCATTAAAGATTCTTGCTTTCTATCTCTGGGAAATATATTGAAATAGGTAAAGGTTCTCCTTGCACATATGTGCTAGTCGTTCCCGACTCTAGGGGGTGGTGCTCATCTCCGTTTCAAAGACAGTGCTGTCCGAAGATGTCTCCGTGATCAGCATAACTCAATGCCAAAGGCGCACGGAACGCTGTTACCTTCCCACCAAAGGTGGTCCCTATTTTTCTACTTGCATTTTTTACGTGCTTTCGGACTGCTAGGTTGGCAGAAGCTGGGACAAGTAATGGGAGCTCACCCTATTACGTGGCACTCAGGGTTCGAACCGCTGAACTGCCAACCTTTCAATCGACAAGCTCAGCGTCTTACCCACTAAGCCACCGCGTCCCTTCCATATTGAAATAACCAATAGTTAAATGTTACAGTAGAAGCTGGATCCTGATTTCAATCCCTAGTTTCTTCCACTCAGGAATGGAATAGAATAGAGGGACAATGAGGTCTAATGGTTAAGGTGCTAGAATAAGATAGAGAAGAACCAGGTTCAGGTCTACCCTCAACACAGGTATCTTTGGATGAGTCGCTCTCCCTCAATCCAATGCTCTGCATTGTTGCTGTGAGCATACAATGAATGAAAATATTTGAAAGTTGCATTAGGACTCCAATGAAAAGTTAGGATATAAATTGTTGTTGTTGTTGTTGTTGATGATGATGATGATTTTGATGATGATGATAGAAAAGAAAGCAAAAATAATAGCAATAGTAATAGGCTTCTTGGGTGCAATTCTGAAACAATTGAAGCACCACTTGAACGCTATTGGCATTGACAAAAACATCATCAGTCAATTGCAGAAGGCAGCTTTAATTGGAACAGCTTACATCTGTGATGTACCGTTAACAACATCAGCTACCTATCTCAAATCGTTGGGAACTTGATAGGTGGATTAAAAATACCAAATTCAGTCTCAACATCTGGCTAACTGTGCAACCAACCATAATAGTATAGAATGTATGGTATTAGGTAGGTAGGTGGACTAGAATTTTGATTCCTGATAAAAAAGATTGCACATACCACAATGATGAAAACCAATCTAATCAATGGTGTGCTTCTTGGAATGTAATTGCCTAGCATCTTTCCAAACTAATGGTTTGGTTTTCTCTTCCAGGGCAGAGCCAGTTCTTTCAAGAATCCAGGAGAACCGGAAAAGGGTCATCCTCCCATCAATTGACAATATCAAGCAGGACACCTTTGAGGTGCAGCGCTATGAAAATTCAGCCCACGGATACAGCTGGGAGCTGTGGTGCATGTATATTAGTCCGCCAAAGGATTGGTGGGATGCAGGAGATCCTTCCTTACCTATCAGGTTGGTTCTGAATTGCAAGTTGTTAAGGTATTCACAGTGTTTTCTTTTTCAGAGTGGAATATAATATCACATAAATCAACATCTTAACCTGATGTTAATATTAGAACTTGGCCAATTTATCATATTAAAAGCTTCTCCTTCTGAACCAAGCTCTGAGTGAGCAGAATTTTGAACTGTTGACTGGAAACAAACAAACAAAAATATCTAGAAGAGACACCAGTTTTTCTTTTCTTAATTGTTCTTATTGCATTTATTGGATGGCTTTTCTTATAAAAGGGGTGAGCAACATGGTGTTGGTTCTAAGTAGACTTTAGGTAAAGGTAAAGGTTCCCTTCGCACATATGTACTAGTCGTTCCCGACTCTAGGCGGTGCTCATCTTTGTTTCAAAGCCGAAGAGCCAGCGCTGTCTGAAGACGTCTCCGTGGTCATGTGGCCGGCATGACTAAATGCCAAAGGTGCACGGAACACTGTTACCTTCCCACCAAAAATGGTCCCTATTTTTCTACTGGCATTTTTTACGTGCTTTCGAACTGCTAGGTTGGCAGAAGCTGGGACAAGTAACGGGAGCTCACCCCATTACGCGACACTAGGGATTCAAACCGCTGAACTGCCACCGCTCAGTGTAGACTTTATGTCCCCACTAATCATCAAAACTACCTCTTCCTCCTTGTCTTTAAGCCTACTTTATTTTTTAAAAAACCCAAATCTTAGCTTAGAAGCTAATTGGATCACTTTTAACTCTACAATATTCTCCCATTTTTTTGTCTGATTTTTCTCCAACATAAAAAGAAAAAGAAATTAATTACAAGAATGCCTCTAGAGACCCTACATACTCCCATAGATATATTTAAAAAATAGAAGATGGTGGGCAACTGAGGCCTATGGTGGGAAAGTATTCCCACTTTTCCCCAGAAAGCAGACCAAACAAACAGGGAATCAAAGAAATAAGAAGGCTAGAAATAAAGACAGAAAACCAACCATCACCATGTTGTATTTTAAGAAATGATGTTCCATGCCTCCTTACAAATCACCATTGCAGGTGATGTGTCATAGTGTTTGTGGATTTCTCTCAAAATTCTCAAGATACACAGCAGTCCAAAAAGATTGTCTATATCTTGCCTTTTTGTTTTCGCTTAACAACCCTGTTATCCCTTGCATCGAGGTGGCACTGGGGTGACTGAATGGAGCTGAGCATTTACTGGCAGGATGCCCTTCCTGACACCTACATGGAGCTCACAGCAGATATTTTCTCTTTGTGCCCAGAGAGAGAAGTATGTGCCACTACCTAGGATAGAACTCACAGTCTTTTGATTATTAGGCAAGAGCTCCATCTCTAGGCCACCATACCACACCACTCTTTCTCATTCCTGTTGAATTCTTATTCATTTATTAATATACATATACTATATATATGTGTGTGTGTGTTTTCTGAGGTTTTTGTGGGTGTTTGTATGTAGGTCTTTGGTTATTCGGGTTTTCTCCCACGTGAAATTGGAAGTGTCTTGGCGACGTTTCGATGAAGTCTCATTTGTCATCTTCAGGCTGGTGTTTTCGGCTTCGTGCTTCTGGGAGCAATGTGTGATCGCAGCTGTTTCTTCCTTTTAACTGCCAGTGGGGGTGTGAACTGATTGGGTGGGAGCTTGGCTGTGTTCTGATTGGGTGGAGGTGTGTTCTGATAGGTTGGGGGCTTGGCTGTGCTCTGATTGGATGGGGTGTGTTCTGTTTGGGTGGGGGCTTGGTTGTGCTCGGGTTAGTCTGAGTTGCAGGGGGATTTGAGCTGGTGAGCTGCGTTGCTGTTGTTTAGCTTCACGTTCGTGGTTGTGCCACATCTTCATGGTGGGTATCAGTTTGCTTCATGTATGGATTGGAGAGGTTTAAAGTGGCTAATAATGCAGCTGTGGTCTGGCTTCTGGTTTGTGGTCATGCCTCATCATCGGTGTGGGTTTGCTTTTTGCGTGGATGTGTGGTGGTGACATCCTGTGTGGTTTTCGTGAGTGTGGGTCTGGTGTCATTCTTTGTGTTAGGAACTCGTTTGTCAATAAGGGCGGGTTTCCAAATGGCTAGTAGGCGGGAGGTATCATCTCGTTTATTCATGCTGTGTGGGCGTTTTTCTATCTCGATGGCTTCTCTGATTATTCTGTTGTTAAAGTGTTCAGTTTTTGGCAATAGTTCTGGTCTTTTTAAAGTCAATTTCATGTCCTGTGGCTTTAAGGTGTTGGACCAGGGAAGAAGTTGGATCCTCTTTTCTGACTGAGTTCTTGTGTTCTTCAATGCGTGCATTTATTCTTCTGTTGGTTTGTCCGATGTATGTGATGGGGCAGGCGGTGCATGGGATTTCATATACTCCTTGATTTTCTAAATCAATTTTGTCTTTGGAGTTTCTTAGGATGGTGGATATTTTTTTTTTCTGCACAAACTGAAAAATATCCACCATCCTAAGAAACCCCAAACAATATCAATATAAATCATAAGGATACAAGCAACAAAATTAGTCATGCAGTCATAAGTGGGAGGAGATGGGTGGTGGGAACGATGAGAAGATTAATAGTAGTGCAGACTTAGTAAATAGTTTGACAGTGTTGAGGGAATTATTTGTTTAGCAGAGTGATGGCATTCGGGAAAAAACTGTTCTTGTATCTAGTTGTTCTGGTGTACAGAGCTCTATAGAGTCATTTTGAGGGTAGGAGTTGAAACAATTTATGTCCAGGATGCGAGGGGTCTGTAAATATTTTCACAGCCCTCTTTTTGACTCGTGAGGTATACAGGTCCTCAATGGAAGGCAGGCTGGTAGCAATTATTTTTTCTGCAGTTCTAATTATCCTCTGAAGCCTGTGTCTGTCTTGTTGGGTTGCAGAGCCAAACCAGACAGTTATAGAGGTACAGATGACAGACTCAATAATTCCTCTGTAGAACTGGATCAGCAGCTCCTTGGGCAGTTTGAACTTTCTGAGTTGGCGCAGAAAGAACATTCTTTGTTTGTGCTTTTTTGATGACGTTTTTGATGTTAGCTGTCCATTTTAGATCTTGAGATATGGTAGAACCTAGAAATTTGAAGGTCTCTACTGTTGATACTGTGTTATCTAGTATTGTGAGAGGTGGAAGTATGGAAGGGTTTCTCCTAAAGTCTACCACCATTTCTACAGTTTTGAGTGTGTTCAGTTCCAGATTGTTCCAGTCGCACCATGAGGCTAGTTGTTCAACCTCCCGTCTATATGCGTATTCATAATTGTCTTGAATGAGACCGATCACTGTTGTGTCATCTGCGAACTTCAGTAGTTTAACAGATGGATCGTTAGAGATGCAGTCATTGGTATACAGAGAGAAGAGAAGTAGGGAGAGCACACAGCCTTGTGGGGGAGGACTCGTGTACTAATTGAACAGGTATCTGATGTGATTCTGCTTAGCTTCACCTGCTGCTTATTTTGTAGTTGCTGTTTTTCTCTGGTCCTTTATGTCATATGCCTTTTCTATAAGATTAAAAAGAAAAATAGAAAGTTGGGAACCATTTTATGCCTGAAAAAGAGATTGGCAAACCACTCTGTGCTGTTACTAATAAAACCGCATAGGGTTAATGGGCACAAAGAATACTTTTAGGGACTGAAGGAAGAGCTGCAACCAAGACAATGGATAGAGGAAAAAAATTTAAGTCCGAGGCAGAAATGTAATTTGAGAAAATGTTTCAAGGTTGACCTTCCCTAGTTCTCTTGTAGATAAAGGGATGGAGAGAGGGAAGACATGCATTCAGACTTGCAAGGTTCTATTACTGTAATTTTATAATAAAAGTAGCATTAACATTCATAACTTTAGTTTCCTTGTCTGGTTGACCTTGAAAGGTTGTCCATAAAGCCATCAGAAGCTGAAAGTAAATTAGCAGCATAACAGAATAGCAATAGCACTTAGACTTATATACTGCTTCACAGTGCTCTACACCAGTGGTGGGTTGCCCCCGGTTTGGACCGGTTTTATAGAACCGGTAGTAAAACCGGCGGGAGGCTCCGCCCACCGACCCCAACATCACGAGGAAGCTTCTGTGTGCGCAGCCCCGTTGTGAACCGGTAGTAAAGCTAAGTAGAACCCACCCCTGCTTTACAGCCCTCTCTAAGAGGTTTACAGAGTCAGCATATTGCCCCCAACAATCTGGGTCCTCGTTTTACTGATCTCGGAAGGATGGAAGGCTACGTCAACCTTGAGCTGGTGAGACCCAAATTGCCAAACTGCTGGCAGGCAGCAGGCAGCAGAAGTAGCCTGCAGTACTGGATTCTAACCCCTGCACCACCACAGCTAACACATCTGGAAGAGACCTTGGAGATCTTCTAGTCCAACCCTCTGCTCAGACAGGAAACCCTACATTTCTGACAAATGATTGTCCAATCTCTTCTTTAAAACTTCCAGTGTTGGAGCGCCCACAACTTCACTGATTAAATTGTTCTGTCAGGAAACTTCTCCTTCCATCTAGGTTGCTTCTTTCCTTGATTAGTTTCCATCCACTGCTTCTTGTCCTGCCTTCAAGTGCTTTGGAGAATAGGTTGACTCCCTCTTCTTTATGGCAACCCTTTAAATATTGGAACAGTGTTACCATGTCATCCCTAATCCTTTTTTTCTTAAACTAGACACACCCAATTTCAGGAACCATTCTTTATAGGTTTAATGTCCAGTCCACTGATCATCTTTGTTGATCTTCTAGAGTCTCAACACCTTTTTTTACATCATTACATCTTGTTTACCCGAAGGAAACTTTGCTTTTAAGTGACATTCTACATCTGCTCCTAAAGATTGATGTTGGGCACCTCATTTCTAAGTAGACCATCATTTTCCTGTCCTCTAATTTCCACCTACAAAATCTTTAACACCTGTGCCAATAAATGCCACAGCACAGGAACAATATACAAATGTAGAAAAAGAGGTTACTGATCATTGCCTTGTGCAAATTGTTGCAAAGATGTCCAACTTGACCTGAAGTGACCTCCAAAAAAGTCACTGGAACTAGATCAGAAGCCCA